GCCCATGCCCCATCCCTCCACCAAGTTTGGTGCAAATCACTTTGGTAGTTTTTGCTGACAAACAAACAAACCAACCAACAAACAGACACGGGTGAAACATAATATCCTTGGTGGAGGTAATGATAAATGCTACGCATATTATCAACCATCAGTAATGAATAGTTGCATATAAATTAAAAAGAGCTAGAATAGATTCTTTATCATTATTTTACCATATACTGTTTAATTTGGGTAAAAAACAACCCAACAGAAATATTAAAAAAAAACAACAACATTAACACTGGATTAAAACATTCCCTTCGTGACTGGTTTCTACCCAACAGGTACAGTGGGACACAGTGATTTTTTCAGTGTGTATATAAATCCATGCAGTGCTTTAGAGGAGATACTGTTACCTTCATGTTGTTCAAATTCTTCAGTCAGGTAATTACATTCCTCAATGATTTTTCCTTCACTAATCCTCTTGCCCATCCCAAAATCTCTCAGTGTAGTCAGAGCAAAACGTCTCATTTCTTTCCACGAGTCGCCATTGGAAAATAGTATGCCTGAAAACAAATGGTTGACTAGTTTTAACACCAACACAAACAAGTAGCAAAAAAAACCTCTCAAAACATTTTCTTACCGTGTCCTTTGTTGAAATCGTAAAATATGGGAGTGACCTCTCTGTCTCCAAACTCCTCAGCATGGTTGACCAGAGCCTGTTTGACTGTCCTGTATCCTGCCAGGACCACCACCTTCTTAAGTCCAAAGTAGACTGTGAACACCGGTCCATATTTTTTGGACAGCTAAAAACATCAACACAAGTAAAAGTGAGACTCACAATAATAAGAAGAAATTGAATTTACTGACTTTTAAAGAAAACATATTTATGAATGCAAATCAGTCTCCTATCATAGCAATGGAGTAAATTACATTGTTTCAGATACACAAGACATTTCTCACATCAAAAAGAGCGCTGTCGAGTCTCTTCAGATCCACCTGAAGCAGGTTACCAAGCAGGGGAAGATGTTTAGGTCCTGGAGGCTGAGTCCGATTTTCCTGGGAGCTGAAGGTGGAGTAAAGAAGGTGGAGGACCAGCAGGACCACAGTGGCCCCCAGCAGGGAGACTGAAGTGGAGGACTGAAGAAGACCGTCCAACATGAT